ATTCAATTTTAAATTGGTTTTAAAAGTTTGGGGTTTTAAATTTGTCTGGGCCAAAATTATTTAATCTGATTTTATTCTATTTTTAAATTTTGTATGTATGTGTTTTTATTGTTTGGCTGTGCACCGCCCTGAGTCCTTCGGGAGTAGGGCGGTATAGAAATCTAATAAAATGAAAAAAAAAATGAAAAAAAAATATAACATGCAAAGCAAACTGTGAAATGAAACCAGCAAATTCAAGTTCTGTGTTTCTATTGCAAATGAGCATATGCCTTTCCTGTTTAAAATAGGGAGAAAAGAAGGAAACATAGTCTCGGTTCAATTGTAAACATGATATCTTGGAAACTTAAGACATGATTCGAAGATTCATATTTCTCAGATGGGATGGGAACTTTAGGAAAAGTAAACATTCTCTTGGTGAGCTAAGTGATAACACCTAAAAAAAAATTCCTGTCTGAAAAAATAAATGGTTATTTCAAATTAGACTTTAAGTGTCAAATCAGTAAAAAAACAGAGGAAACTAATTTCCTCTGAATGTCACTTTCTAATTTTAGTTGGTATAAAAAAAGTAAATGGATTGCCAAAGACTTGTTCCTGTTCACAATAAAGGTTATTTAGTAGAACACTTATGCTGAATTCTGTGAGATTTACCACATACAAACAGAAAATGAAAACCCAATGGACTTTAATTTTCTAAGCACCATATCTGTATTAGTTTCCCTGACCTCATAAGGTTCACCAGTTTGTTCTCAAATGACTTTTTCTCAGGTTCCCATATATTGTGTTCTTGTCATTTCTTTTATTTATTTATTTATTATTTTATTTTAATACAAACAATCCATTTTCCATTAAACAGTGTATCGTCTGGGTACAAATGTCTCGTGCTATGCTATCATTTTTAATTATCAAATCATTAACAGAAAAACTGTCATTCACTTTTATATATCTCATCTTTTATAACTGTGATAATTGATTATGAGATAAAAGGATAAGAACTGCATAAATAATTTCTGAGCAGCTCAAATAAATTAGGTATTGTACTTTCAGGAATGGCAGAACCATTTCCAGATAACCAAACAGAAATCGTGGAATTCATTTTGCTGGGATTTGCAGGTCTTGAAGATCTGCAGGCTCCTCTCTTCTGCTTCTTCTTCCTTATCTACTTTGTTACAGTGGTTGGAACATCCTCATCATTTTGCTGGTTGTTACTCATCCCCATTTTCATACCCCCATGTATTTCTTCTTGGGTAACCCCATGTATTTCTTCCTGGGCTTTCCTGGAGATCTACTACAGTTCAAGCATTCTTCCGATGATGTTGTCTAATCTCATCTATGGTGGAAGGAAATCAATTACAGAAACTGGCTGCATGCTGCAATATTATTTTTTTGCTATTTTCAGAGTTTCTGAATGTTGTCTTCTAGGGGCAATATCATATGATAGGTATGTAGCAATTTGTAAGCCACTGCATTACATAAAATTAATGAATGGGAGAATCTGCCTCCAGTTTATAGTTGAATCATGGATCCATGGTTTCCTTGTTATGAGCATAATTTTATATCTACTGCATAAGTTAAAGTTCTGTGATCCCACTGAAATTGATCATTTCTTTTGTGAATTGAATCTAATATTAAAGCTAGCATGCAGTGACACGCACTTGATTGAACTTGCAACTACTTTGTTATCTATTCTGTGTATTTTGCTTCCTTTCTTCTTGACCTTGGCATCTTATATTTTTATTATTTCTACTATGATGAGAATGTCATCTGTCAATGGAAGAAAAAAAGCTTTCACAACCCACTTCTCACACCTCATGGTAGTGTCCATTTTCTATAGCACCTTAATAATTGTTTACATGTTGCCCAAAACAGATGGACTGCGAGAAATCAACAAAGTCTTGTCTGTGTTTTATACAATTCTGACCCCTTTGCTCAATCCCCTGATATACAGTTTATGAAATAGGGAGATAATAGAGACCCTTAAAAAAGCAGTTGCTAAATTGTGTGCCACTGAAAGAATACATCACTGTAATCTAAAATGAACTTTTTTGTTGTTGTTCATGATCTTGTATTATTCCTAATAAAACCAAGATTTGGGGTTCTTTGAGGACAACATCACGTTTCAATTTCTTTGCAATATTGTATTAGAAATTAGGGACATTAAGGAATTCTACTCTGAGTTTGTCCTTCTTACTTGAGAAAGAAAATGCAGAGTGAATGGTATTCAAAAGTGAATATTTTTAGTGTTCATTCTACTCTTACAAATAAACATTCTGATGTATTCATTCTTGTTAAATGTAGGGAAGTAAAACATGCATGTAAAGCCTATCACAAGATAGCACATTTGTTTTAATTTTTATTCTCCTGTGTCAATTAGTTAGTTTGATGTAACGAAGTGCTACTTTGATAACACTTTCTCCTATTCCTAAGAAGCATTTTGGCATTTTTGTTACTCTTCATCTGTAACAATAGTGTTTGTATGGAAGTTTTCAGATTCCCATATGCATCACCAACTAGAGACCTGTTCTTTTCCTTTAGGATAAACCAAAATAATTTGCACAGTAGGGACTGTGGCCTTCAATATAAGAAAAATGCAATGTTAGAATGTTGTCTTTTTTAGAAATGGTGTTCAATTAGATTTTACTTTAATTAGTCCTTTTATTTTGCTAGTCTGAGCCAATTCTAGAGATCAAGATTCTATAGACAACCTAATGCGGATGGTAAGAGAAGCTCAAAATTTGCTCAATGAATGTCAGACTCCTAAAAAACCATAAAAAAGATGTGATACATTTCTAGACAATAACTTTTTACAGTTTTTCTTCAGTTTTCTTTTTCAAGGGAATGCTATGCGCCAATACTACATCTTCCTGTTTGTAATTCTGGCCAGACCTTCTCTCAGAATGATCTATTTTATTTAATTCCATCATTAACCATAAAATGAAATTTTATTTAGGACTCTTTTGAGTCTTCTTGAGGTTAAGTTTTAATTTTTTAAAAAGTTGTATTTTTATTATAATTTTACCAAATTGTTGAATTAGCATTGATGGTTCTTTTTTAATGAAAGAAAAGTCACTTACAGAATAGGTGAGTTGCTAATATATCAGCAACAGTTTATAAATTGGTCCTTTGACTGGAATTTCTGGCAAATATAATCCCAATTTACCTTGAAGAGGCTGGGTAAGAGGTAAGAATTATACTCTTTTAAAGTTCTGAATCAAATTTCAGATTGGGTATTCTTTTGAAGCCTGACTTCTTACTTTTCTAAAATATGCTGTCCAATGTCTTCATTTTGAAGCAGCCCTCAGAAAGTCTAATGCAAAATAACTTAAAGAAAGGAAATCATTCACAAAGGGAAAGACTCCATGCTTCCTATAAGCATTGTCTTTACTGCATAAATATTTTGCTATATAAAATGTGAGAAGGATGGGGACAATACCATATAGTTTCACCTAAGTGTGATTATACATTTTGAAACATTTTCCAATCAGGGAAAAAGGAAGTTACCAAGCATGTATAATACATGTAAGAGGCACTGGTGGATTGCCAACATTCAAGGCAGTCTATTGAACAATTAAAAAAAAGTAGAAAACTAAATATTGCATTAATATATAGTGTACAATCCAAACACTAAACAGAGTGAAATACTGTATTTATAATAAGCTCCTACATGTACAAGCAAAAATGAAAACACAAGGAGAGCAGTTATGAGAAATAATGCACAATATTTGCAGAGTATGATTGGGGTGAACAAACAGCACATTGTGAAGTTGAAAATAACTGGTGGAAAGGAGAGTGTATTTTCATATTTCTTGTGCTGACATATTCATCAAAACAGTGCTCCCTCTTGGGCTCCAATAACTCCCAAAATTCCCAACCAGCAGTGCTCAAATGTTTCCTAAAATGAACTGTGGCAAATGTAGATGACAACTATCTGTGTTAAGTGACTACAGACTGAATTGTTATCTTTAATTCATGCTATCTAATGTGAATCAAGCCAAACCAATTCTCAGGTTTTCACCTTGTAACATAACATATAACTTAACCAGCTGAGCAAGTTTTAATTCTATATGTCTATTGCAAATGAACACAGTCTCAATTAATCTCTAAACATAGTATTTGTGGAAACTTAAGTCAGGATTCAAATAAGTGTGTATCATATTTCAGAAATGGGAAGAGAATGTTTCTTTAGAAAAGTAAGAATTCCCTAGCTGAAGTAAGTAAAACCTTGCCAATCTTGCCTGATCTGAAAAAGATAAACAAATCAGTTAAAAAAGGGAACTAATTTCCTCTTGATTTCACTTCCTAATTTTAGTTAGTATAGAAAGAATGAATGAAAGTTTTTTTTAAAAAAGTTTTTTATTAGTAGTTCAAAATTAAAAACATTGGACATAGATATGACATCACTGGTCCCAAGCATCTTCCAACACTTTAAACTAATACATAATATACTAATGATAATATAATAATATATTCTTTACATCTTATACGTTATTTAAACATAGTATAATAATAGTAATTTATACCTTATTCCTATAGAATTATACATATCTATATCTACATATACCTATCTATACAATTCACATACATATTTATCTATAATAATGTATATAATTCTAGTCAATTGTCAAAGATTTTTGTACATTTTTGAATGATAGTTATTTAACCAAACATGTGGTTTAACTTCCAGTGAATTTAGTGAGACTTTCCCAAAATAACCAAATACAAAAAGCCAGTAAACTTTTATTTTTTTTAGCCACAATATTCAAAAATTTCTTCTGTTTCATTATGCTCACCTTTTGTTCCCAGACTTTTTCTCAGGCTTCATATGTTCTGTTGCTTAGTTTGTAACTATCAAATTGTTGACAAAAATATTTTAACATCATTCACTTTAGTGTACTGCATCTTTATGTTTTATAACTGTGATAATTACTTATGTCATAAAAAGATAAAAAATTAATACATAATTTCTGAGCATCTCAAATAAATTAGATATCATATTTGCAGGAATGGCAGAAACAGAACAAGATAACCGAACAGAAATTACGAAATTCAATTTGCTGGGATTTGTAGGGCTTGGAGAGTTGCAGTTTCCTCTCTTCTATCTTTTCTTGGTTATCTATATTGTTACAGTGGTTGGGAACATCCTCATCATTTTGCTGGTTGTTACTCATCCCCATCTTCATACCCCCATGTATTTCTTCCTGGGTAATCTGTCTTTCCTGGAGATCTGCTACAGTTCAAGCATTCTTCCAATGATGTTGTCTAATCTCATCTATGGTGGAAGGAAACCCATTTCTGTAACTGGCTGCATGATGCAATATTACTTTTTTGCCATTTTGGCAGTTGCTGAATGTTGTCTCCTAGGGATAATGTCATATGATAGGTATGTAGCAATTTGTAAGCCGCTGCATTACACAATGCTAATGAATAGCAGAATTTGCCTCCAGTTTATAGTTGGATCATGGATTCATGGTTTATTTGTTATGAGCATAGTTTTATATTTTATGTATCAGTTAAAATTCTGTGGTCCCACTGAAATTGATCATTTCTTCTGTGAATTGAATCCAATATTAAAGCTTGCATGCAATGACACTCACTTGATTGAAATAGTAACTATTTTTATATCTGCTATATGTATCTTGGTTCCTTTCTTCTGGACCTTGGAATCTTATATTTTTATTATTTCTACTATATTGAAAATGCCATCTGTCAGTGGAAGGAAAAAGGCTTTCTCAACCTGCTCCTCACACCTCATGGTGGTGTCCATTTTCTATAGTACCTTAATGATTGTCTACATTTTGCCTAAAACAGATGGACTGCGAAACATTAACAAAGTTTTATCTCTGTTTTATACAATCCTGACCCCTTTGTTTAATCCCATGATATATAGCCTACGAAACAGGGAGGTGAAAGAGGCCCTTCGAAAAGCAGTTGCTAAATTGTGTACAATTGGAAGGATGCATCATTGCAATCTATTATGAACATTTTTTTTTGTTTATGTTCTTGTCCCAGTAAAACTAAGATTTGGGGTTTTTTGAGGACAGTATCATGCTTCTAGATTTTCCTGTAATTAGGGACATTAAAGAATTCTGCTATGATTTTGTCCTTCTTACTTGAGAAAGCCAGAGCAGGTTGGATACACAAGTGAATTTTTTATTGTTCATTCTACTCTTAGAAATAAAGATTTTGATGGGTTTCTTGTTAAATGTAAGAGGTAGTTTGAAAGTTTCTTACAATTTTGAACTTTAAGTAATGCAGCATATTTAAAAGAAGAATTTTATAGAAAGGCGCTTTTTTTTCTATCTGCGTAACTTCCTGGATTAAGCAAATGGTTATTTTAAGAAATGTGTTCACAAAAGAGTTAAAGCACAAGATGTCTTGAATGGGAGGGTGGAGGAAGAGGTAGAATTGCTGCTGAGTTATAACCTTTCCCCAGGTAAACATATGGCCTTTACAGAGAAGAGTTTGAAAGAAGCAATAGGAAATTTCATGCCAGTCCCAAAGCTGCTTCTATTGGAATGAATGATCAATTATCAGAAGAGACTCTGTTTTATAAAACCCTTCCATAGTTAAGAATTTTTCACTTGGAAATATTAAGTGCTTTTTACTTGGAAATATTAAATGCTGTTTGGTCTAATTTATCCTCATTTGTGCCTTCTGGTTTTTATATTTTGAATTATGGTTTACATATTTATTTTTTAAAAACTTAATATGCTGCCCAGGACCATAGCTTGTGAGATGGGCATCCATATACATTTGATAAATAAATAACATATATGTTATGTTTAATTATATGTCTATTACTTTGTAATAGATACAGGTGTGTATAATCACAGTTACACTGTATTAACCATAATATATTAGAAAAAAAAAGCTAAAATATTTAATAGCTAAATAATTGTTTATTCGTGTTTTGCCTCCAGTGCTCCTGAATAAGTAAAAAAAGCCAATCTACAAAATCTTGTGTTTGCCATTACCCAATCAATCTGCCCCTATATTTGTTGTTTGACTATCAAAGCTGATCTCCAAACTGATGTCTCCAGATATTTGGGGATTACAACTGCTGGAAGTCCAAACCAGCATGGTTTCTGGAAGTACAGGTGGTCCTTGGCTTACAACAGTTCATATAATGACCATTCAAAGTTGCAACTGGACTGAAAAACCTATGTCTAATTTTTCACACTTATGACCATTGCAGCATGCCTATGATCACGTGATCAAAATTCAGATGCTTGGGAATTGACTCTTATTTATGATGGTTGCAAGGTCACATCAGTATCTTTTACAATCTTCTGACAAGCAAAGACAAGGGGGAGAGCTAGATTTACTTAAGAACAATGTTACTAATTTAAGAACCACAGTGATTCACTTAACACTTTGGCAAGAAAGGTAATAAAAACTCACTTAACACATTTTTCACTTAACCACAGAAACGTTGGGCTCAGTTTTGATCATAAATTGAGGACTACATGTAATTAGAGATTATGGAGTAATCATTTAGACCAGCAGGAGCAAGCCACCGGTTGTACGCTTCTCCATCAAAACAATACTTTTTAACTGGTGAAACTGGATGGGTCTAGAAGTTGCTCGGTGATTTTGAAGTTATCTAGTGAAAACCTACACTAGTGTAAAGCAAGAAAAGTTGCATTTATTTGTCACAGAACAAAAACATTAATTTAGCACAATGACAGAAAATGGCACTATGTATGGAATGGATAAGAACAAGTATTTATAAGTATGTAGTACTTATACAGCAAATAAGGGGTGATGTGTTGGATAAGTCACTTCCCTGAAATTGGTTGCACTGCTTCAAAGGAAGATTGTTGTCATAAATACATAACAATGAGAAGACATGGTGTACACTCTACCATCTCTTTGCACCAGAAGAGCAAATAGTGACAGTCAGATGAGGGCAGGGATCTTTACTCAATAAGCTGTTACCACAACTGTTTCTTATCTATTCATCACTCTTTAACATCTTAATAAATTATCTACTTGAAAGGATGGAAAGGAACTCATCAAATTTTCAGATAACATCAAGCTGTGTGGGGGGAACTGCTAATATTTTGAAAAGTAGACCAAAATTCTTCAGAAGTATCTTGACAGACATGAGCATTGGGCCGTATCCAACATGATGCACTTCAGGTACAGAATAGATGGTATCTGCTCAATAGTAGCAACTGTGAGAGGGATCTAGATGTCCTAGTAGATCACCACTTATGTATGAGTCAGCAGTATACTGCAGCTGCCAAAACAACCAATGAAGTCCTAGGCTGCATCAACAGATCTCAAGAAGAGATAATACTGCTTTATACTGCGCTAGTAAGGCCATAATTGGAATACCGTGTCCAATTATAGTCAACATGATACAAAAAAGATGCTGAGATTCTAGTCTATAAGGTGTTTAGAGAAGAGCAACAAGGTTGATAAGGGGTCTGCAGGCTAAACTGCAGATGATGAATGGTTAAGGGAAATTAGGTGTGTCTAGCCTATCAAAGAAAAGGATTAGGAGATTACATGATATCTGTCTTCCAATACTTGAGGTGCGGTCATAGAGAAGAGGGGTCTATTTTTTCTCCAAACCACCTGAAGGAGGACAAGAATTAACAGGTGGAAGATTATTAAAGAGAGATTCAACCTAGAACAAAGGAGAAATTTCCTGACAGTGAGAACAATTAACCAATAGAATAGGTTGATCCCTGGAGTTGTGATGTTCCATGCTGGAGGTTTTCAAGAATAGACTAGACAGCCATTCTACTCTCCTGCCTTGATCAGGGGGCTGGACGAAAATTTCCAAGGTCCTTTCCAGATCTATGTTTCTATACCATTATTAAACAAGTAGATGATATAGAAACTTGATCAATAAAATAAAAAGAGAACTTCCTCTTTTCAAGATGTAATTTAGATAGAATTGAGGCTATGTATGTCTTAATAAAAATAGTTTTTCCTTCAGATTCAGTCAATGTACCAATGACCAAACCCATATTCTGCATCCAAAGAAATCACTAAGAGTTTATATTTTTTAGCTCTCTGTTTTGGTTAAGGAATATATCCTGTAACAAAAATCTTACTCAATTCAGATCTCCAAAACTAGAGTATAATGCCTATATTTAACATAATTTCCTATGTGAGATGAAAATGATGGGAGTTTTCAAGATACAGAAGAGTGCAGATTCTCCATGTTTGAGACACCCTTTTGCTATGCATACATATACATATTCAGAAAGCCCTCACCCATCCCGTCATTTAAAAAGAGCATAGCAGAATATAACATGGATCAGATTGGGTGACTCATCTGTTTTCATAACAGATGGGTCATCCATATTTGCTTATTGTTTATTTTGGTCATAGACTAGCATAAACTTTCCTAATATAGTATAAGAGGAAACAAGCTTGACTGAAATCCTACCCACTCACATATTCTATTCCTGCAGTAGGTAATGCTAGTTGTAGTTGGCTACAATTTATCACACATTGAGTAAATTCCAAGTTGGGGAAAGGTGACTTAGAGCCTGAGTGTGACCTAATATATGTATTCTAGTGCTTCTTCCTGTTAGTATGAAATAAAATTGCCAAATATTCTGCTTCTTGTATACATGCAATAAAAGCAAAATAAAATTTGAAATGGTTATATTTGAATAGTTCATAGACAGTTGAGGAATGACCTGATATGTTCAGTTTTTAAGGATACTATGTGTGTCATGTGAAACTTGTTGAGAATTGTTAGAAGAAAAGGAGAAATGAAGGAAAATAATCAAAAGAGATAGTAGTTGGTAGATCAGAAATAGACTAATGCTTAAAGTATGGCTAGTAAAAACACACACACACACACACACACACACACACACACACATATATATATGTATATGTATATGTATATATATGTATGTATGTATGTATGTATGTATGTGTATATATATATATATATATATATGTATATGTATATGTATATGTATATGTATATGTATATGTATATTATATGTATATGTATATGTGTATGTGTATATGTATATGTATATATGTATATGTATATGTATATGTATATGTATGTATGTATATATATAATATATATATATATATGTATGTATATATATATATTATATGTATATGTATATGTATATGTATATGTATATGTATATGTATATATATATATATATATATATATATATATATATATATGTATGTATATATATATATATATGTATATATATTTGCTAAAACTTGCCCCTTCTCTTCCAGAACTTGATTTCTCTCTACCCTTTTCCTCAAACTCTTTTTTCTCCTGGAGGTCTCCTGAAAATTGAAGACCAGGTGAGGTGCCAGAAATGATTTGAGGGAGCTGTTCTGTTGTCAGCTGAGACATTAATGAGGCGAGGTAGCATGAACAAGAACAGTTTATTTATCACAACAGCAATGATAGGAACAGAACAGAGAGCTTTCTGGAACTGACAGCTCTTTTATACTTGGAGCTGTCCAACGTGCTTAACCAATAGGAGCTCAGACAATCTCCTGCTCACATTAGCCACTCCCCTCTAGCCAATCCACCGGCAGCGTCCCTGTTGCCAGGGCCTCCACGAATCACAACACTCCTTCATCCCCGGCTATAACATACATAGTTCTTTAGATATTCTGGGTGTTTGCGCACTCGGGTTGAACGTCTTAGCGCAGGTGCCGGTACGATGTTGGCTGGGTCTGCTTCCAGAGATGATGCTGTTGGTAGCTCCTCCTGCTCATTGGTGGGTGTGGCGACAACCGGTAAGTCCTATTTTGACACTTGAGTTTCCGGTGTGGGCAGTGGCGGATTTGCTGCAGAAACAGGCAGAAGGGTAGGCTCTGCTTGGGGAGCTGTCTGAAAGGCCTCTTTGTCCAGAATGTTTGGGGACGTTGTCAGTCGCTTCCTTAGTTGGTCCACGTGTCTACCCCATAGTCGGCCGTCATTCAAAAGTACCCTGTAAGAGCAGGGGCCAGTTACAGCACTCAC